CTGAAGCTGTTCCTCTTCTCATCACTAGTTAGGCATGCATTGGAGCAGGGATATGACTGGGTTCTAAGAGCCAGGGCTCTAAGCAAAACTACTAAATCATGAGACTTGTTATAAGATCAGGAGAGCTGGCACTTTTTTTTATCATGTCTACTCCTCAGCTCCCTGAGCATCATAATGGTGATTCTTCCTCTGTTCATTTTCATGGTGGACTCTTAAAGTAACACTGTCCTGCACATCAGTCTCTTATTTTGTGCTTGTACAACACAAAGCACAATGTGCCTGGATGTTAGATGGGCCTTCTATAATATATTATATTCTAGGGAACTTACTATGGTGGCTGATTTCTAACAGAATGCTACACATGTGGTGAACAAAATAAAAGCCACGGTAATGCTCAGTGTGCTTGAGGGTGACAAATGGTGTTCCTGGGCCTTTTTCATAAGCCCACGATACCTAGAGGAAAGGAACCTAGAGTAGTATTTCAGAATATTGGCCTGGACAAAATTCTCATTGAAAAATCTATATAGAAAGTGTAGTCACATAATTTGCCCAACTAATAGGCAGTATTGTTTGTACATGTCATGTTCAGTAGGAATTACGAGCCCTAGCCTTCTATGCCATATTGGGTAAAATACTTAAGACTGGGACTCTGATCAAATTAATTGAACATGTACTGTGTTTCGTTGCTAGAGGACTGCATGTGATATGCATAGCCTCAGACAGCTAATGAGTCCCCTGGAGTCCTTGCTTTTGATAGGTACAAGATGTTCTACTTTAATTCACTTTCTCTGTTTCCAAGCAGAGGTGAACAAAAGGGGATGGGGGAAGGGAAATATATGTGAACAGGTGTAGAAAATGAAAATCCACTTGTCTAAAGTCTGCTAGGATCCTGGGTTTTGTTTTCAGAATATGACCTTTCTCTTAAAAAAATGTTCAAGAAACTGTTCACAATAATCAAACAAAAATGAATTTCAAAGTGCAAACATCTTTCAGTGCCAGTTAAGATATACAAGTCATAAATACAAGTATTGGTAATAAGCAGGGCTTACTGATTTCTTTAGCAGGTCTGATTTGGAACATCTGGCAGTCCAGGGAAGAGAGGCAACTGTAAGGAAAGGACTTGTCTTCATAGAACCATAGATAATTAGGTTGGAGGGGACCTCAGGAGGTCATTTAGTCCAACCCTCTGCTCAAAGTAGGACCATCCCCAACCAGATCACTCGAGGGTTTTGTCTAGCTGGGCCTTAAAAACTTTCAAGGATGGAGATTCTGCCACCTCTCTACGTAACCTGTTTCAGTGCTTCATCACCCTCCAAATGAGACTGTTTATCTTAATATCCAACCTAAACCTCCCTTGCTGCAACTTGAGACCATTGCTCCATGTTTTGTCATCTGCCACCACTGAGAGCAGTCTAGCTCCATCCTCTCTGGAACTGCCTTTCAGGTATGTGAAGGCTGCTATCAAATCCCCCCTCAGTCTTCTCTTCTTCAGACTAACTAAGCCCAGTTCACCTCAGCCTCTCCTCAGAAGTCATGTGCCCCAGTCCCCTAACCATTCTTGTTACCCTCTGCTGGTCTATTTCCAACTTGTCCACATCCTTTCTACAGCGGGGTGGCCCCAAACTGGACACAGTACTCCCGATGTAACCTCACAGTACTCCAGATGTGACAGTACAGGCAGTCCTCGATTTACAACGTTTTGAGTTAGAACGTCTCTCACTTACAATGTTTATAAATTGACACCCTGTTTCAACTTTATGATATCAGTTTCGACTTTACAGTGCTTGGTCTGATGTGACACCACGCCAGTGAACAAGTTTGGTGCATCATTCATCTCCCTGGAGAACATCTGTCCAAACTGCCTTGGACACCTTCTTTAAGCAAGCAGACAAGACTCCAGAAAAGCCTGTAGCCAAGACTCCTGAGAAGACTCCAGCCAAGAGCCCTTCAAAAAGTCCAACCAAGTCACCTCAAAGAAGTCCTCCTAAATCAATATGATTGCTATTTACAATATAAATACATTAATGTAGCTATATTACTCATCTATAATTGATTAAGTACAAAATTCTGGAGTATTTTTGGTGAAAATAGGGTATCGGGCCTTGGTTCAGGAACCAATCCCCCATTTATAACATTGTTTCTTATGAGAAAATTGGTTCCGAGTTATGTTTCAACTTCAGACCTGGTTTTCAGAAACCAACTGTGTCGTAAGTC